AAAAAAAGAAGTACAAATTGGGCCCTGGCCGGTTAGAGCATCAACCTGCGGTCCAGAGAGACCTGGGTTGGTTCCCGCTAGGGGCACGTGCTTCGGTTGCGATTTGTCCCCGGCAGCCACTCGATGTGTCCCTTTCACATCGATATTCCTCTCTCTCTCTCTTCCTCTCTCTCTCTCCCACTCTATCTGAAAAAAAAAGGAAAAAATATCCTCGGGTGAGGATAAAAAAAAACAAAGTACAAATTGGTAGTTACAGAATAGTCATGGGGATGTAAAATACAGTATAGGGAATATAGTCAATAATATTATAATAACTATGTATGGCGTTAGATGGTTCCTAGATTACTGGGGTGATCAACTCGTAAGTTATATAAATGTCCCATTACTGGGTTGAACACCTAAAACAAATATAATATTGAATGCCAACTGTAATTGAAAAATAAAATAAAACTTTTAAATAGGCTTAACTTTTTCAAACAACAAAATTAAGCAAAAGTAGAGATTTTCTATATGCCCACTGCCCCAACCATGTTAAAAAAAAAAAAAAAAAAAAGGCTATGACAAGAGAGAAAAAAGGACACAGCAATTCCATCACTCACTAGGTGCTTATCCAAAGTAATGAAACACTTATATGGTGCCAGGCGAGTACCGGAAATATCAAGGGGAACATTTATAAAGTATATGATCGTCTAACCACTATGCTATACACCAGAAACTAATACAAAATAATATTAAAAGTAAACTAATTTTTAAAAGTTTTTTAATGTAAAAAAAAAAAACTAAAAAACAAAACACTATTTTGAAAAGATGTATGTTCACTGCAGCATTATTTATAATTGCCATGATATGGAAGTAACATAAGTGTCCACCAACAGATGACTAGATAAAGAAGTGATACACACATACATACACATACACACACACACACACACACACAATATAATATTACTCAGCTATTGAAAATAAAGAAATCCTGCCATTTGCAACAACATGGATGGACCTAGAGGATATTGTGTTAAGTGAAATAAGTCAGAGAAAGACAAATACTATATCATTTCACTTATATGTGGAATCTAAAAAAATAAATGAACAAACAAAACAAACACACTCACAGAGAATAAACAAACAGTTGCCTGAGGATTGAGTGGTGAGAGAACAGGCAAAAATGTGAAGGGCATTAAGAGGTACAAACTTATAAATAAGTCACGAGGATATAAAGTACAGCATAAAAAATACAAAAAGTAATATCGCAATAACTTTGTAGTGACAGATGATTACTAGACTTCTTGTGGTGATCTCTCCATAAGGTATATAAATGTCAAATCGTACCCTGGCCAGTGCAGCTCAAATGGTTGAGAATCGTCTGTGCACAGGTTGCTGGTTCAATTACTGGTCAGGGTATGATTCCAGGTTTTGGGCTCAATCCCCAGTAGGGAGGCATGCAGGAGGCAGCCATGTTTCTCTCTCCCCTTCTCCCTTTGTCTCTCTCTGTAAATCAATAAAAACATATTTTTTAAAAAATCACTATGTTGTACACCTAAAACTAAAATGATATTGTATGTCAACTATACTTGAATTTTTAAGAACTTTACATTCCATAATAAAAAGAAAAAAAGAAAACTTTGGGAAAAAAATATCTCAATTAGAAATATTCAATTAGAATCCTTGATATCTAAAAATCAGCCCTGGCCAGTTTGGCTCAGCCGTTGAGTGTCGGCCTGCAGACCAGAGTCCCGGGTTCGATTCCCGTTAGGGGCATGTACCACAAAATAAATAAATAAATAAAATTAAATAAATAAATAAATAAATAAAAATCAAGAGGAAGATGTTATGATAAACAGGAAAGCTAAAGGGGTAAAAATCCCATTAGAAAAGCTGAAAAATTTTTTTCAGTATTATGACACTTTAAAAGTATGTCCTTCCCTGGACAGTGTGGCTCAGTTGGTTAGGCATCATTCCATGCACCAAAAGGTTGCTGTTTCCATTTCTGGTCAACGCACATTCCTGGGTTTCGTGTTTGATCCCCGGTAGGGGGTGTACAGGAGGCAGCTGATAGATGCTTCTCTCTCACATCAATGTTTCTGTCTCTCTCTCCCTCTCCCCTCCTCCCTCTCTACAAATCAATTTTAAAAATAAGTATATCCTGATATTTTTATTCATGGTACAAAACAACTGTGCCTCAATAAACCTTTTAAAAAAGAAAGTATATCTTTGTAAGAGTGTTTTTTAATTAAAAGATGAGTTGTATTTATTTTCATTATTTATGGCATCATACTAAAACAAGAGTCAAGTTTTATTTTCTTTTAAGCTTCAATCCACAAAGATAATTAGAACTAGCGAAACAGAAGCCACACATTCATACACATGCACACATGCTCACACATATACAGGAAGCTGGAAAGGCAGACCTAAACCTGCTATGAGAAATACCTAGGAAGCAACCTTTTGCCAAGGAAACCCAAAAGGCTCAAAATTGATGACCTCTGAATATAGAGATAATGTGGCAGGGGTGCACCAATTGACAGTCTTTTTCTTTACTTTTATTTTTTGGTACATGCCCCTAGTGGGAACTGAACCCGGGACTCTCTGGTCCGCAGGCCGATACTCCAACCGCTGAGCCAAACCGGCCAGGGTGACAGAGTTTTTAAAAAGCATTTAGATTCCTGGTTTCCCCCACTCTGCACAGCTGAGCTACTACTCTACCCTCACACTAACAGAAACCTGAAATTTTATTCTCCAGAAAGGGTAAAGCATCCCAAGCCACTGTTCAAGGTGGGGCCAAACACTAAAAACAAAACTTTTATGTAAATATTTACATGCCAAATCCTAAGAGCCCATACTCTCTTCCCTTAATCAATACTCATAAGGTTGACAGCCAGGTTTTTACCCAGCAGAAGAATGAAGAGATCTTTTTAGGGAGTCAAACCAGTCCAAGAGAAAAGACCTAATAACCAATATCCAGGAATAACAAAAGGAAACATCCAACCAGATCACCCTATAGTGAAGTCCAGAGTCAACAAACACACACACACACACACACACACACACACACACACACAGAAACTTCCAAACAAGCCTTTTACTGATCACCCTTATAGATAAATGGATAGTCAAGGATCACCAGACACCTGAGGAATGGCCTCTGACTGGAAAAGATTGTTTGAAAGAAGTTAAAAAGGTGACAACAGTTGCTTCTGGAAGGAGAAAATAAGGTTGAAAAGGAGATGCCATTTTTCATAACAAATCTTGTAAAACTATTTTTCCTTTAAAATTTTTAGAATGACATTGTTAAAAAAAATAAAATAAATCCATAATTAAATTTTAAAAACTAAGTATAATAAAATGTAAATCTGCCTGACTGAATATAAAAGAAACCTGATGCTGCCCTGGCTGGTTTGGCACAGCGGCTGGAGCGGCAGCCCGTGGACCAATGAGTTGCAGGTTCAATTCTGGTCAAGGGCAGGTACCTCAGTTGTGGTTCAGTCCCCGGCCTGGTCGGGTAGTTTGGGAGGCAACCAGTCGATGTATCTCTCTCATATCGATGTTTCTCTCTCTCCCTCCCTCCCACTCTATCTGAAGATAAATGAAAAAACATCCTCAGGTGAGGATTAAAAAATAAATTAAAATTTTTTTAAAAAAGAAGCCCAATGTTATATTTCAAACACCAAAACACTGGTACTTTCATATCAAAAACAAATTATGTGTGATACATCTTACAACCAATCAAAAACTCACTTTCTTGAGCTGCTGCAATTGATCTCTCTCTAAAATGTACACAAGTTCATAAGAATAAGATGTATATAACTTACAATTATAGATTTGATCTTTTTCAAAATGTCTAGTATATTTACATACAAAAGCATGGCAACAAAGGGCTTCATAACAGTGACTGACAGTCCACTTACAATCTTGGCCCGCAATGAACATATTGGTGGCAGCACGACAGCAATGCCAAAGCCAAAGGATGACTGAGGACGAAAATAACCCATTTAAAATATGGTAAGCCCTAGTTGCTTTGGCTTAGCGGTTAGAGCAGCAGCCTGAGGACCTAAGGGTCGCAGATTTGATTCGGTGAAGGGCACATACCTGGGCTGCAGGTTCGATCCCCGGCCCTGTTCAAGAAGCAGGAAGCAACCAATTGATGTGTCTCTCTCACATCGATGTTTCTCTCTTTCTCTCTCCCTTCCATTCCCTCTAAAAATCAATGGAAAAATATCCTCAGGTGAGGATTAACAACAAAAATAAATAAAATGAAATATGGTGAAATTACAACATAAACCATTAAGATTTACAAAGTGTTGCCCTGGCCAGTTTTGCTCAGTGGTTAGCACATCGGCCCGTGGACCAGAGTTCGGTTCCCACTAAGGGCACATACCTCGGTTGCAGTATGTCCCCGGCCCTTGTAGGGGTTGTGCAGGTGGCAACCAGTCGATGTGTCTCTCTCACATTGATGTTTCTCTCTCTCTCTTCCTCCCTCTCTCCCTCCCACTTTATCTGAAGATAAATGCAAAAGTGTCCTCAAGTAAGGATAAAAAAAAAAAAGGATTTACAAAGTGCATGACCTCTAATTCATCTGCCTTACAAATTATGAAATAGTCAAGTATCACAGGGAAGGGAGGGTAAAAAGTTTAGATTAAATGTTTCAAAAAGTAGAGAAAATTGCTTATATTTACTAAAATATATTTAAAACATATGACATTTCCATAAATTCCCCAAAGGACACTAACCACTTAAAAACCAAAATATAACCATTTAAAAACCTAAATATAAATGTTGTCAATCATAAAATAAAAAAGGTCACAGTGTTAAAATAAGAAAATTTCAATATCTTTTAGAAATGCACGCTGGAAAATGATGACTGGTATCATCTTTAAAATATCTCAGAAAAACAAGGAAGGACTAAAGCACATGTGGTAAAGTCTTAAATAATTTTTGAAGTATAAGGTTCATTATACTATTCTATTTTAGTGTATGCTTCAAATAAATTTTAAAATGCTCACATCCACATCTGGTCTTTTTAGCAAATCTTCCACTTTAGCAACATCTCCATTGGCAGCAGCCTTAACTAATTCTTCATTGAGGTCACCAGATTCTTGGGTTTCAAATAATTTCTTCAAGAGTTGGGAGAGTCTTTCTGTAAAGCATCAAATAAAGCTGCTAATACAGGAGGATCTCAAACTTTACTAACAGACAAGCATTACATATACCTATTATACTTTTCCTTTTTTATTATTTCTTTAATATCATTTTTCTACTATGCTACAGATATTACTCATGCAAGTTATAATTATTTATATATATATATAGCTGCAGTAAATCTGAGCCCATAAATATTCCCAGTTTTCCCTAATTCATGTATTTCAAGTTAAAATTTCAGAGAAAGTAGAGAGTTACAATAATAATTCAAGATGTAGAAGTCATACCAAAGATATTAGAAATGAACATATCACAATAGCACTACCATAATGATATAAACTTCCTTTCAGGTCTTACGCATACCACCACAGTGACTCTCTCAGCTCATTGCTACAATGCTACAGACCTTACAAAAAATCAACAGATAATTATTATGATTCAAAAGAAATGTAATTTCTATAATATCCAGGAAAATATTTTAGAGACAAACCTATTTTCAGTTCAAAACGGACATCTAAATGTTAACAACATACTTCAAAGGTGCCAATTGATTACTTTAGACTAAAACAAGAAAGAACCAGGGATTTACAAACCCTTTCCTAAGTTATTTTTTTAAACAGCATTAATCAGTAGAGAACCTACCCAGTTCCATTCCTGAATTCTTGGATCTTCTTATTGGAAAGCAAAGAAATTACAAAATGGGGCAAAGGACCAACACCAAGTCCACATTACCTGAGAGAAGGATATTAACCATCCTTCTTCACAGTTTTAATTTGTATGTAGTCAGCCTGTTGTGATGCCATCTAACCTCAAGGTCAAAACTACAACCACCTGATTTAAACTTTAAGCACACTAGCAAATTATAGCAGGAAAGAAGAGACAGAAATAGAGAAAATAAAAAGCAGTACAAAATAAAATTGGAGCCCTGCTGGTGTGGCTCAGTGCTGAGTGTCGACCCATGCACCAAGAGGTCATCAGTTCGACTGCCGGTCAGGGCACATGCCCAGGTTGTGGGCCCAATCCCCAGTGAGGGGCACGCAGGAGGTAGCCAATCATGTTCTCTCTCATCGATGTTTCTATCTCTCTCTCCCTCTCCCTTCCTTTTTCTCTAAAATCAATAAAGAAAAAAAAAGTTTAAAAAATCAAATAAAATTGGAGGTCACTCTGTTTTCTTTTACTTTCTTAACTATTTACTGTTATGGTTCTATCTTCTTTTCTGGAAAACAATATATATTGGTAACTTATCATTTGTTGTAGAATGAACTGAGTCTGTGTACATAAAGCTGGAGCTTAGGAAAGAAAAACTGAGCTTAAGTCTACCCAAGCATCCAACATATTCACATCTCAACATGGTTTTCTACACATTATGTCATATATAGTAACTCTTATTGAATAGTAAAAGAAAAAATATGGCTGAGATGTAAAACTATCCAGAAAAAAAGCCATCTGCTAGCAATAATGTTGAAAATGAAAATAAAATAAAACAGTCTAAGAAGTGATGGTTCTTTGGCAGAAAACAAAAATCCTGACCACAGAGAAGAATGATGAATTTTAGATATCTTAGATTTGATGTGGAGAAGTGTTTGATATATCTAAGAAAAAGCACATATTTATGGAACTTGTCCAAGTGCATACCTCAGCCAGAACAAAGATTGTTCCTTGTATGACTAAAAAAAAGTTTATGAAAGTTTAAAAGGTAGTTAACATTTTCTTGGCTGGTTTTGCTCAGTGGTTAGAGCATCAGCCTAGGGACCAAAGAGTTGCAGGTTCGATTCTGGTCAAGGGCATGTCCACAGGTTGCGTTAGGTCCCTAGCCCTGGTCAGGGTCGTGCGGGAGGCAACCGATCAATGTTTCTTCCTCTCCTCTCTTTTTCTCTCCCTGCCACTCTCTCTGAAGACAAATGAAAAAAAAAAAATCCTCAGGTGAGGATTTAAAAAAAAAAAGTAGTTAACATTGAAGCGAAGTTATGTGATCTAAGCGAAAACCAAGAACACACACAACATTACCTGTATATGAGAATGGGGGAATTAGCAATGGTTCTAATGTAAATCATATTACTTTTAAAAAAAACATGAAATAAAACATACCACCAGATGCATTGCTAATGGCTGATCCTGCAGATGCCACCTTAGAAACTGCGGCTGGATTGTATGTCCAAGATGTGCCACAAACTTCCACCTTTAAATCGCTGTCTGAATAAATCTGTTGTACTCGTCCAACTTTACCTAAAGTCTTTAAAAAAGAATTAGATTCATGTTTCCAAGTCCAAAGTGTATACCATAAAAAAAAATCAATCACCAGTTTTTACATGTTTAAATAAATTTTTTCTTTGTTCCTAAAGAAAAACTTTTAAAGAATAACCATATTCAAATAGGTTATTCATTAATTACAAACCCTAAAAATTCTCTCTTAAAAATATTTTAATAAAATAAACCTACTAGCCCAGCTGGTATGGCTCAGTGGTTGAACATCGACCCATGCACCAAGAGGTCACCGGTTCTATTCCCGGTCAGGGCACATACCCAGGTTGTGGGCCAAATCCCCAGTGGGGGGCATGCTGGAGGCAACCAATCTATGTTCTCTCTCATCGACGTTTCTATCTCTCTCTCCCTCTCCCTTCCTCTCTCTATAAAACATCAATTAAAAAAATTTTTTAATAAAAAAAATAAACCTACCATATTTCCACGAAAATAAATCATGAGTCTATCTTATTCATGAAAGTTCACAAAATTTTGCTTTTTGATATTTCACCCTTGTTTTTTAACCCATTAGGTACATCTTGAGAACTCAGAGCTCAAGTAATACAAAATCCATCATCAATCTAGCCTAAAAATACAAAGTCTGATTTCTTAAAAAAAAAAATTTTTTTTAATTAAAAATGGCTCAAAGTTTATATCTATGTTTAAATCCTTTTTGGAATCATTCCTGATTCAAAAATTTAAGTGTGCAGAATTAACATGCCTATTAAATATGGAAAAAGAGTAATTAGGTACAGAACACAATCAGCAACAGTTCTTTCCATGTGGCAAATGCTATTCTAAGGTTCTAAGACAGTGATTTCCAATCTTTTTCATGTCATGGCACACATAAACTAATTATTAAAATTCTGTGGTAAACCCAAAACGTATTATATTTTTTGCTGATCTGACAAAAAAAGATATAATTTTTATTGATTTACAAAAATAATAATGATGATGATAGTAATTATCTACCCTTTTTTGCTCCAAAGTAACTTTTTTATTTATTTATTTTTATCCCCACCCGAAGAAATTTTTGCATTTATCTTCAGATAGAGCGGGAGGGAGAGAGGGAAGGAGAGAGAGAGAAACATTTGATGTGAGAGACACATCGAGTGGTTGCCACCCACATGACACCAACAGGGCCAGGACAAACTGCAACCAAGGCATGTGCCCCTAGCAGGAACCAAACCCGGGCCTCTCTGGTCCGCCAGCTAACACTCTAACTGCTGAGTCAAACTGGCCAGGCCCAAAGTGACTTTTTAAAAAATCAGGTGCCTATACTTAAGGATTTCTGGTACCAATCAGACGCAATTTTAATATTCAATGTGACTGATAAGAGGTAACTGTTATATGATGTATATATTTATGGTTCAAGAAAGGGCATTCAGCCCTGGCCAGTTTGGCTCAACTGTTAGAGTATTGGCCCATGGACCAGAGAGTCCCAGGTCCGGTTCCCACTAAGGGCACATACCTGGTTGCAGTTTGTCCCTGGCCTTGGTTGGGATCGTGTGATTGGCAACCAGTCAATGTCTCTCTCACATCGATTTTTCTCTCTCTCTCTTCCTCGTACTCTCCCTCCCACTTTATCTGAAGATAAATGCAAAAATGTTCTTGGGTGAGGATTTAAAAAAAAGACAGGGCATTCACACGGATAACTATTGTTGTGTTGGCTGTTGTCATTTTTTTATTTGACAATCTAAGAGAAAAGAGGTCAGCGCCCCTGACTAAGCAGTCAGGTATTGCATGTTTTAAAAATTCTTGTAGCACGCTGGTATCTTTTGCTCCGGTAAAAATTCTTGCAGCACACCAGTTGAAAATTGCTATTCTAGCCCTGGCCAGTTTGGCTCAGCGGTTAGAGCGTCGGCCAGCGGTCCTGAGAGACCTGGGTTCGGTTCCCGCTAAGGGCACGTACCTCGGTTGCAGTTTGTCCCCGGCCCTGGTCGGTTGTGTGGGTGGCAACCACTCGATGTGTCCCTTCACATCGATGTTTCTCTCTCTCTGTTCCTCTCTCTCCCTCTCACTCTACCTGAACAAAAAAAAAAAAAAAATGGAAAAAAAAAAAAAGAAAATGACCCACCTATTACTATAACCCTGAAAGTTAAGTGCTAGCATTAACCCCACTTCAAAATCAGTTCCAAACTTCGCTCTCTTAAACGTAACAAAATAGCAAATAACAATACTAGAAAATTGGTGAAGAATAGTGATAATATCTGACTACTTCCTAACACAGGGAAGAAATTACCCTTGACTTCTTTTCTCTTTTGACCTTTCTGCAGCATCTGACCCCAACTTTGAGAAGCTATTCCGTTGATTTCTGGAGGACAGTCTAATCTTTCTGTCTGTTTCTCCCCTTTCTCTACTCACTGGCTCCTTTTCCTTCTTCACACCCTAAATCTATTCATTCTCCGCAAATTTTACTCCTTCACTTTTTACTCTTCTTTCTTGGAAATTTAATCCACATTAACAACTACCACCTTATTTCAAAAGACTTGAAAATATACTTCTCTAGCCCTCTTTATCCTTCTCCTCACCACACACCAATTTCAATTTCTCATTAGACATTTTCATTTGGAATTTTCCACCATCATCTCAAACTGTATGAGGCTGCATTCTTTGTTTTTTTCCTCCCTAACTGTTCATTATGGAAAATCTCAAACACACAAAAGCAGACAACAGTATATTGAATCTCCGTGTACCCATCACATTTAACAGCTGGCAGCTCATGCCAATTTTGTTTTCCCCTACCCATTCTCCCCTCCTATATTATTTCGTTATGTAACCTCTTTTTTAAAACATAACTACAATACTATTACCAACTCATCCAAAAGTATCAAAAACATAAAATACCAGCCAGTGATCAAATTCCCAATTGCCTCATAAACAATAAATTTTTTTAGTTTGTTAAATCAAGCTCCAAAGAAAGACTACACATAATTTTTTTTCTTTGCAAATTATTTGTTGAAGAAACTAGGTTATTTGTCCTATAAAGTTTCTTACAATCTGAATTTTGCTAATTGGTATAGTTTAGTAGCTTCACCCGTATCTGTATTTGGTAAATCATCCTTTAAGTTGGCTGCTACATCCTTTTAACATGACCTAGAAACTCTTGATAATTTCCTTGCTATCCAGTATGAGGAGGGGCTCATCATCTTGTTCACTTCCTACCAAAGACCTAGCATTAGACATTTCTCCCAAGACCCCTAGTTCTTTACACAGGGAAACGCTATTTCAAGACCATAATCTGGGCACTAACAGTTATTGTTACTGGAATGGTGACTGTTTCTTGGCCTTGTCATGGACAGAGCTAAGAAAAAAAAGAAAGAGGTTGTTTTATTTTGTTTTAAAAGATACAATAAATGCAAGACTATAGGGGTTTTTGGTTTTTTGTTTTTCTCATTAAACTGTGTTTTAATGGGTCTCAAAATTCTGTGGCAGATTTTTTGGTCAAGTTGTTTCCATTAAAAAATACTGATTTTAAAAACTAATAACTTAGAAACTGCCACACACACAAAATAACCAAATGGTCCACAAAACATTCTCCTTTCCTTCTGAAGGCTTTACGGTGCATTGTAATCATTAATCAGTCTTCTACTATTAAACTTAAATGGCCAATTGAGACAAACAGTTCTGAGACAATTCTTCCACCACTGATTAAGACTGGGGTGGCAGGTATTGAGAATAATATTCATTTAGCCTTCTGAGCTTTCTGAGCAGACTTGGTGACTTTCCCAGCTCCAGCTGCCTTCTTGTCCACTGCTTTGATGACACCCACAGCAACGGTCTGTCTCATGTCACGAACAGCAAAGCAGCCCAGAGGGGGATAGTCAGAGAAGCTCTCAACACACATGGGTTTGCCAGGAACCATATCGACGATGGCAGCATTACCAGATTTCAGAAACTTAGGGCCATCTTCCTGCTTCTTCCCAGAATGACGGTCAATCTTCTCCTTTAGCTCAGCAAATTTACAAGCAAAATGAGCTGTGTAACAATCCAGCACAGGTGCATATCCAGTACTAATATGGCCTGGATGGTTCAGGATAATCACCTGAGCTGTGAAGCCAGCTGCTTCCATTGGTGTCACCAGCCACACTGCTACAACGAACATCTTTGACAGACATGTTCTTGACATTGAAGCCCACATTGTCCCCAGGAAGAGCTTCACTCAGAGCTTCATGGTGCATTTCAACAGACTTTACTTCAGTTGTTACATTGACTGGAGCAAAGGTGACCACCATGCTGGGTTTAAGGACACCAGTCTCCACTCTACCCACAGGAACTGTACCAATACCACCAATTTTGTAGACATCCAGGAGGGGCAGACGCAGGGGCTTGTCAGTTGGACAAGTTGGTGGTAGGATGCAATCCAGAGCTTCAAGCAGCGTGGTTCCACTGGCACTGGCATCTTTACGGGTGACTTTCCATCCCTTGAACCAAGGCATATCAGCACTAGGCTCCAGCATAGTGTCACCATTCCAACCAGAAATTGGCACAAATGCTACTATGTCAGAGTTGTAGCCAATTTTCTTAATATAGGTGCTGACTTCTTTAACGATTTCCTCATATCTCTTCTGGCTGTAGGGCGGCTCAGTGGAATCCATTTTGTTAACACCAACAATCAGTTGTTTAACACCCAGTGTGTAAGCCAGAAGGGCATGCTCACGGGTCTGCCCATTCTTGGGGATGCCTGCTTCGAATTCACCAACACCAGCAGCAACTATCAGGACAGCACAGTCAGCCTGAAATGTGCCTGTAATCATGTCTTTGATGAAGTCTCTGTGTCTTGGGGCATCAATGATGGTCACATAATACTTGCTGGTCTCGAATTTCCACAGGGAGATATCAATGGTGATACCTCACTCACGTTCAGCTTTCAGTTTATCCAAGACCCAGGCATAGTTGAAGGAACCCTTCCCCATCTCAGCAGCCTCCTTCTCAAATTTTTCGATGGTTCTTTTGTCGATCCCACCACATTTGTAGATCAGATGGCCAGTAGTGGTAGACTTGCCGGAATCTACGTGTCCAATGACGACAATGTTGATATGAGTCTTTTCTTTTCCCATTTTGGGTTTGGTTTAGTGGTGGTTTTCATGACACCTGTGTTCTGGCGGCAAACCCGTTGCGAAAAAGCAAGACTATAGGGTTTTTAATAACCTCTTCTATATTACATCTGTATCTCCTTTTCTAACTCTGTCATTTCTGGTTCTTAAGGTCTCTGGGATAACAAAATTAGAATTATCTATAACTACTAATTTTTTGTCATATTACACAAATAATCTCAAAATCATATCAACACTATCACAAACAATTAGATTTCTGACTATTACTATATATTTATTTTTCCATGTATTTCTGTAGGATATATTCCTCCTATAAGGATATAAAGACAAATTATTGTGTTTAAAAATCATTTGGAATTTCCTTTTAGTATGGTTATGCCAACAGAAAACACACTTAGGTTTGCTTCATTTTATTTTCCATTTTTAGGCATTTCATTTTTTAATTTTGTTTTATAATTGTATAAAACATGTGGTTTCAAATCAAATCTGTAAGACATATTCAAAAATGTCTCTCTTCTACCTCTGTCCCCTGTATCATATTCCCTTTTTATATATGAACACGTTTTTTTTACTTTATGATTAACCCTCCATTTTTTCCTTATTTATTTATTTATTTTTGAGAGCGAGGGAGACAGAGATAGAAACATCAATATGAGGGAGAAACATCAATGTGAGAGAGAAACATCAACTGGCTGCCTCCTACATGCCCCCCACCGGGGATCGAGCCCACAACCCAGGCATGTGCCCTGACTGGGAATCGAACCAGGATGGCTTAGTCTATGGGACCACGTGGGACCACGCTCATTACAGAGCCACAATGGCCGGGCATATTTCTCTCCTTTTAATATAAATTTTATATACTTTAATTAAACTTTATATTAAAGTATATTGTCCTAATGTTACACTAATACCCTTACATATATATCCATATTCCTCATTTAAAAATATATATATGTATATGTGTGTATATACACACACACACACATATATATATATTTATTTATATGGTCTATTGGTGCCTAGCATACACAATATTGAAATTTGTCATTCAAGTGTTCTTCCCTTTACCCTTTCTTCACTAATATTTTTATTTTAAATAATAGTATATAGTTCCAATTAATACCTTACCCCTACATTACATTCTCTACTACAGCTCTATCAAAAAATATTAACTATAGCTCTTTTTGGACCTTCCCTGGCTAATTTAACTTTCTAATAAATTAGAAAGTAAAAGGCATTAAGTATGCCTAGCTGCTAATAAAGAGCACAATTCTCAAAGGATTATGCTATTATGTTAATTCAGTTTCTAAAATTAAAGTACTTTATTATTTACTTTTATTTATTATTTTGTTGTTGTAGTTAATCCTCACCCAAGGATTTTTTTTTTCATTGATTTTTTAGAGAGAATGGAAGGGAGAAAGGAAGGAAGGAGAAAGAGGGAGGAAGAGGAAGACATGAGGGAGGGAGAGACGGGGAAGAAGAGACAGAGAGACAGACACACAAAGACAGACACACACATCGATTGGTTGCTTCTTGAACTTACCCTGACTGGGGCAGGGATCGAACCTGCAACCCAGGTACATGCCCTTGACCAGGAATCAAACCCGAGACCCTTTGGTGCACAGGCTGACACAATATCCACTGAGCCACACAGTCCAGGGCTTAAAGTGCTTTTAAAAACTACATAAGCATGGTATAATTCCTAGTTCAAAACTATTTTATATATACTTACTGGGAGCATAGCTTCAGCCCATTCTCCATGTCCTCTCTGCAGAAGTTTAATTCTTTCCAGATCATAACAAACTTGTACAAGATCACCCACTTGAAACTGTGAAGTACCTCCTTCTGCACCTTGAGCAGCATCCCCACTTCGGACAATGTTTGCTTTTGTGAGAACAGCAGGGTTAAAGGTCCACCTAAGGATCAAAGCCAAAACTCAAAATGGGTTAAGTTTAACATGACATTTTTTAATTAAGCACTGCAGGGAGAAAAGTCTTATAACACATTAGAAGAGTAAAGCAATCCTTTACAATTACATCCTGAATTATATGTATTTATTTTATAATTTTAAAATACAAATTTGGGGAAAGAATTATCATAATCTGACCACTCTACGCTTTTGTGCAGATTTATCATCCTTTGCATGTTAAAATTTGTTATAAAAATACGCCCTGGCTGGTTCGGCTCAGCAGTTAGAGCATCGGCCCACGGACCAGAGAGACCTGGGTTCAGTTCCTGCTAGGGGCACATACCTCAGTTGCAGTTTGTCCCCAGCCCCAGTTGGGGTCGTGTAGGTAGCAAACACTCGATGTGTCTCTCTCACATAGATGTCTCTCTCTCTCTCTCTCTTCCTCCCTCTCTCCCTCCCGCTCTTTCTGAAGATGGATGCAAAAATGTCCTCAGGTAAGGATAATAATATAATAACAATACACACTCACTGTTAAAATTTAAAACATTTCAGAAACATGTAAAGTGTGTGAACCTTGAAAAGGAATACATCTGGCAAGAAGGACTCCTCAGGGTTAACTGGGCCCAAGTCTAGCAGCCATTGCTGACAGAGGCCTCTCATGTACTCTGCACCTAAGGGAAAAGCTACAGAGTGAGCTGCCAGCCTCCTGCAACATGTTCCTGATGTCTGAATCAATCCTTACAAGGGAGTTCCTGGTATCATTTTTTTCATCAATGGACTGAGAATGGTCACAAACAATCAGAACTGTGCAGCTATACCATCTGCATCTATGCTGACCAATCAGAGCTGCCCTATAATGACTAATTCCTTCCCTTCCACTCTACCTAAAAAGCAATGAAAAAATATCCTCAGGTGACGATTAACAAAAAAAAGTTTCCCTAGTCAAATAAGCTTTTATAATATGGCCATTAGCATATAAAAGATTCTGAGTGGTCACAACATACAAAAACCTATTTACTAAATTCCTGTAACCATGTACACTTTGCTTGTAAAACAACTATAAAGAGAAAGAAGTGCCTCTGACCAATTAAGAATACAAATCAGATATGCAAAGTTTTCTTTTGGGCCTTATCACTCAGTGCCCTTTATTTAACTCAATATTCCAAAATTTACTAGATCTATTACAGTACCTGAACATAGCAGTATTTAAGTTGTTAACTCTGCCTACAGTGCTTCCCTGCCTTGCTGAAAATTGAGTCGATCTTTCAAACTTATTCACAATGTAATTTTCTCTCTAGTTTTTCTATGATTTGTCCAGCTGAAATGATCACTCTTCTCTTGAAGAAAACCTTGAATACTCACCTATCATAATTACTTACAATATTTTAATACTTATTTCTGGTTTTGTCTATCCAAACTAAAAGGGAAACCCCTTCATAGCAGGGGACTATGTCTTAACTGTTTTTGTAATCACGGGGCCTAACACAGTACTTAATAAATTAGTATTTAAAAAAGCTTTTGTTGAATAGAGAATAAAAAAGAAATTATTTTCTAAAACTCAAATGTCATTATTACTGCTAACACCATTGCCCAAGAAAGAATTCTGACCAAGAAATAATTCTGTAATAATCCTAATTTGTATTAACCTAACATTTCTAAACAATATTATACGTAATACAAAATGTGTTAGTACATGGCCCTGGCCGGTTTGGCTCAGCAGTTAGAGCGTCGGCCTGCGGTCCTGAGAGACCCAGGTTCAGTTCCCGCTAGGGGCGCGTACCTCGGTTGCAGTTTGTCCCCGGCCCTGGTCGGTCATGCGGGTGGCAGCCACTTGATGTGTCACTTTCACATCGATGTTTCTCTCTTTCTGTTCCTCTCTCTCCCTCCCACTCTATCTGAACAAAAAATGGAAAAACGTCCTCGGGTGAGGATTAAAAAAAAAATGTGTTAGTACATGCTAATCTGAACTTAAGTTATGTTAAGATTCTTTTCTTTCTTTTTTTATTAACAGCTTTGAGATGTAATTCACATACCATACTAATTTAAAGTGTGTAATTTGGTGATTTTTAATATATTCACAAAATTATAAAACCAAGCACCACTATCTACATTAATTTTTATCACTGCAAAATGATACTTCATAACAATTAGCAGTACTCCACATTCACCTCTCCCCATCCCCTAACAACCAGATATACTTTATTTTTTATTTTTTTATTTTTTTATCCTAACCCGAGGACATTTTTCCATTTTTTTGTTCAGGTAGAGTGGGAGGGAGAGAGAGGAAGAGAGAGAGAGAGAGAGAGAGAGAAACATCGATGTGAAAGGGACACATCGAGTGGCTGCCACCTGCACGACCAACCAGGGCCGGGGACAAACTGCAACCGAGGTACGTGCCCTTAGCGGGAACCAAACCCCGGTCTCTCGGGACCGCAGGCCAATGCTCTAATCACTGAACCAAACTGGCCAGGGCCAGATATACTTTATTTTGATAAATTTGCTTATTCTGAACATTTTACATAAATAAAATCACATAACAAATGTCTTCATTCACTTAGCAGGATGTTTTCAAGATGTATCTATGTTCTAGTATACATGTAAGTACTCCATTCCTTTTTATGGCCAAATATAATATTCCATTGTATGGACATAGCACATTTTATTTATCCATTCATTAGCTGATAGACATCTGGGTTATTTCCACATTTGGGCTGTTATGAGTAATATTTCTACAAACATTGATGTACAGGTTTTGGGGTATATACATAGGAGTGGACCTTCTGGGTTATATGGTAACTCTATATATAACATTTTGAGGACCTACCAAACTGCTTTCCACAGCATCTCGACCACTTCACATTCCTAGCATCAATGTATGAAGTTCCGTTCTAATTTCTCTACACCCTCATCAACACTTAGAATTATCTGACATTTTTATTCTAACCATTCTAGTATGTAAAGTGGTTATCTCATTTTTGGTTTGGAACTGCAGTTCCCTAATAAAACTGTAGATCATCTTTTTATGGGTATTGAATGTATAAAATTAATCATCCCTCCAAAATTCATATATTGAGTTCTAACTTCTAATGTGACTGTATTTGGAGACAGGACCTTTAAAGAGGTAATTAAGGTTAAATGAGGTCATAAAAGTGGGGCTCACCCAACAGGACTAGGTGACCTTATAAGAACAGGAAGAGACACAGGCGATATCTCTCTTTCTCTGGACATTCACAGAGAAAAGACCATGTAAGAACATAGAGAAGGCAGCAGTCTGTAAGCCAAGATGTGGTCTCGCCAGAAACCAACCCTGTCAACACCTGATCTTTGACTTCTAGCCTTCAGAACTGTAAGAAAATATATTTCTGTTGTTTAAGCCATCTAGTCTGATATTTTGTTATGGCAGTCCTAGCTGACAATACAGTGAGTTTACTAGTCATCTCTGTATCTTCTCTGGAAAAATGTCTACTCAAATCCTTTGCCCATTTTTCAATTGGGTTATTTGTTTTTTATTATTTAATTATAAGATACAAATCCCTAATCAGACATATGGTTTGAAAATATTTTCTCCCATCCCATAGGTTGTCTTCTCAATTTATTTATAGTTTCCTTTAAAACACAAAACTTTTTGCCCTGGCCAGTTTGGCTCAGCAATACAGCATCGGCCCACAAATCAAAGAGTCTCAGGTTCAATTCTGGTCAAGGGCACGTACCTCGGTTGCAGTTCGTCCCCGGCCCTGGTCAGGGTCGTGCAGGAGGCAACCAGTCAATGTGTCCCTCTCACATCGATGTTTCTCTCCTTTTCCCTTTCTCTCCCTCCCACTCTATCTCAAGATAAATAGAAAAATATCCTTGGGTGAGGATTAAAAAATAAATAAATTTTAATTTTTGCCTGGCCAGTGTGGCTCAGTGGTTGAGCATCAACCTGTGCACCAAGAGGTCACTGGTTTGATTCCGGATCAGGGCATATGCCCAGGTTGTGGGCCCAATCCCCGGTGAGGGGCATGCAGGAGGCAGCCAAATGATGTTCTTTCTCATCAATGTTTCTATCTCTCCTTCTCCTTTCCTCTCTCTCTAAAAAATCAATAAAGAAAAAAAAATTTTTTTTAACTTCTTAATTTTGATGAACTACAATTTATTTAGTTTTTCTTTGGTTGTTTCTGCTTTGGGGGTTCATATCTAAAAAACCATTGTCGCCCTGGCCGGTTTGGCTCAGCAGTTGGAGCATCAGCCCGCGGACCAGAGAGTCCTGGGTTCGGTTCCCACTAAGGGCACATGCTGAAAAATAAATAAATAAATAAATAAATAATTAAAAAACACTGTCTAATCCAACATCATGAAGATTTACACTTATGTTTTGTTCTAAGAGTTTCATTATTTTAACTCTTACAACATTTAGATCTTTAATTCATACTTCTATATGGTGTGTAGCAAGGGTCCAATTTCATTCTTTTGTTTAGTGATACCTAGTTTATTCACCACTGTTTACTGTTTTTTACTGAGTTTTATTTATTTTTTAAATTGAGATATAACTAAATATTAAACATTTTATTTTCAGCATACAACATAATGGCTTGATATACAATGTCAGTACCATTTGTTGAATAGGTTATTCTTTCCCCATTGAACTGTGTTGGACCCTAGTTAAAAATCAACTGACCTTAAATGCAAGAGCTTATTTCTGGACTCTCAATTCTACTCCATCAATCTACATGTCTATTCTTATGCCAGTGATACTGTTTACTATAACTTTGTGGTGAATTTTGAAATCAGAAAGTGAGTCAAAACTTTGTTCTCTTTCAAATTGTTTTGGCCATTCTGGAACCCTTAAATTTCCACATAAATTTTAGGATCAGTCTGCTAATTTCTGTAAAAAGAAAACTAGGATTCTGACAGAGATTGCACTGAATCTGTGGATTAGTTTCGGGAATACTGCCATCCGTTATATGCTGAATTATGCTCCCCCACACAAAGATATGCTGACATCCTAATTACTGCTACTTCCTGAATGTGACCATATTTAGAAATAGGATTTTACAGGTGTAATCAAGTTAAAATGAGGGCATACTAAATTAGGGCAGTCCCTTAATCCAATGATGATGTCCTCATAAGAAGGTCATGTAAAAACAGCTTTTGATTATTTTCTATGTAAAAGATTTTAGAATTTCCACAAGTTCAGTTAACTTCCTTCTATGTCTCCTCAGGGTTCTTTCCTCATGAATAGTTAAGCTACAAATGTTGGCTTGACAAAAATAAAATAGTGATCTCTGGCTGGTTTGGTTCAGCAGTTAAAGCGTTGGCTCATGGACCAAAGAGTTGAGGGTTCAATTCCAGCCAAGGGCACATACCTCAGTTGTGGTTTAGTCCCTAGCCCTGGTCAGGGTCGTGCAGGAGGCATCCAATGTGTCTGTCACACATCGATGTTTCTCTCTCTCCCTCTCTCCCCCTCTCTCCCTCTCTCTCCCCCTGCCCCCACTCTATCTGAAGATTAATGGAAAAATATCCTCAGGTGAGGATTAAAAATAAAATAAGATAAAATAAAATAATAAAATAAAATAAAATAGTGGGCTGAAGGATTATTTACTTATGTGGCTTTCAGTACCAAATGATCTCCCTACAACTGTCTGAACCTGACTAGAGATTGATTTGAATACATAATAAAATTTGTACCTAGGGAAAAAAAAGTCATGTGAAGACACAGTGACACATCCTCTCACAGGGAGAAGGCCAGTGAAGACAGGCAGAGAAATGAGCGATGCATCTATGAAAGCCAAAGAATACCAAGGACTGCTAACAACCAGTAGAAGGTAGGAGAAAAGTATAAAACAAATTCTCCCTCAGAGCCCCCAAAAGAACCTAATCTTGCCAGCACCTTGACTTTGGACTTCTCATCTCCAGAATTGTGAAAAAGTAAGTTTCTGTTGTTTTAAGACACCCAGTTTGTGGAAATTTTTTATGTCAACCCTACATCATTAAACAATAATAAACCTTCCAATCTATAAACATGAGATGTCTTTCCATTTATTTAGGTCTTATTTGATTTCCTTCAATATTTTATAATTTTCAGTGTACACGTCTTGTACTTTTCAGGCTAAATTCATTCTTAAGTGTTTTATTTTCTGTGATGCTATTGTAAATGAAAAAAAATTTTTATGTTAATCCTCGCCCAAGGATATTTTTCCTTTTTTTTTTTTTTTTTAAAGATAGAGTGGGAGGAAGGGAGAGAGAAACATGGATGTGAGAGACATCTTGACTGGTTGCCTCCCACACGAGCCTGACTGGGGCTAGACATCAAACCTGCAACCCAAGTACATGTCCTTGACCTAATCCACCCCAAGACCCCTTCAGTCCTCGGGCCAACACTCCAACCATGGAGCCAAACTGCCAGGGCTGAAAATGTTTTCTTTATTTAATTTTCAGACTCATTACTATTATACAGAGATATAAATGATTTTTCTCTACTAATTGTATCCTGCAACATTGCTGAACTCATTGATTAGTTGTAATAGTTTGTAGATTCTTTAGGTCTTTCTATGTACATATCATGTTACTGTAAACAGAGACAGTTTAACTTCTTCCTTACTTCTTCCTTTTCTTTTTCTTGCCTAACTGTCCCAGTTAGACTCTCTAGGATAATACTAAATAGAAGTGGGGAAAGCAGACAATCTTGTTTTGTTCTGATCTTAAGGGAAAAGCATGTAGTCTTCCACCACTGAGTATGATGTTACCTGTGGGTTATTAATAGATATCCTTTAGGCTAAAGAAGTTCCCTTCTGTTCCTAGTTTATTTAGAGTTTTTATCATACAAGGGTGTCAGATTTTGTCAAATGCCTTTTCTGTCTCTCTTGACATGATCACATGTATAAGATGTGAACACGAGTAGAGCTACATCTACACTTTGGTAAGTAAGTTAATGTTAATTTTTCTTATTCCCTATATGACCTCTCCCCTAAAGAACCTCAGGAGGAACTGGGTGAAAAAGGTAAAGGGATTAAGAAATACAAATTGATAGTTACAAAGCAGATACAAGGATGTAAAGTACAGCATACAGAATATAGTCAGGATGTGAGGGCGATCTGGCTGCGACATCTGTCACCCCATTGATCGCCAGGGTTGATTCGGCTGATCTGGCTGGCTAGGCGGGTGTCCCCCTCCTCCCTCAACCGATCCATGTTCGTCCCTCCCGAAGCTGCGCGCTCGGTCGAAGAGGACGACCTTCCCCCCAGAGGAGAGGACCGGTCTTCGGTCAAGGGTATACGAGTAGCTGCGCTCCCCTGCTAGAACCTCCAAACAAGCTCTCAGAATATAGTCAATAATATTGTAATACTATGTATGGTGCCAGGTGAGTACTGGAAATATCGGGGGGAACACTTTATAAAATATATAAATATCTAACCACTATGCTGTACACCTGAAACTAATAAAAAATAACATTGCATGTACACTGTAATTGAAAAACAAAAATTTCTAAAAAGCAGGAAAAAGAACCTCAGAGTTTCTTTATGTACATGTCAGTAATAAAGATGGACAATTATTCAACTTAACTACTGCTTTTTCTTTGAAATATCATAAATATACAAGTGAAGTAAACATATTTTGACCCTTAAAAACAAATATATAAAATGCATAGGCCCAGCCCGCCTGTGTGGCTCAGTGGTTGAGCGTCAACCCATGCACCAAGAGGTCGCTACTTCGATTCCCAGTCAGGGCACATGCCCAGGTTGTGAGTCAATTCCCAGTAGGGGGCGTGCAGAAGGCAGCCAACTGATGTTCTCTCTCTCAGATGTTTCTCTCTCTCTCTCTCTCCTTTCCTCTCTCTCTAAAAATCAATAAAGGAAAAGAAAAGAAAATTTTTTTAAAGACATAGGCCCAGTCTCCAAGAAACTGGAAACCTAGAGACCAAATAAATAATCATTTTAATAGATAGCAGGTACCCTAAACAGATGAATAATGTATGCAGCATACACCAGGGAGGACAGAGGAGGGAGGAGGTTCCCAAAGTATATAAGCTCAATATTTATAGGATACAGACAAATTAATCCAAAGAAAGGGGAAAAAGATGAAAGGGTATTCTGCATGAAAGAAATGGTATGTGCAAAGGAACAAAAGTGAGGAAATGCATGCAATTCTATGTTGCTGATAAAGATTCATGTCTGTTTATGTGTCTGTGGCAAGGAAAGCTATGTTATCAAGATATAACCCTGGAGATATGGGCCAGAAGAGTTTTAATTTTATCCTTCTCGTTTAAGATAGACTGATACAATCCATTATGAACACAGAACTTTTTGCTATACTTGGACCTAATGATAACAATATATTCTGCGCTTCCTGAAGGAAAAAAACCACAGAACACTGTAACCTAAAGATGTTCATATAACTTCACACTCCTTTTTGACATTTGTTCTCCTCCACCTTACAACATATTCTGGATTTTTACCTACTGAGAGCTACCTTTAAAGAGTCTTTGGTTATATCACATTATTTGCTTTCTTTAAGACTCTTTTCTCTAACTTTATTTGCCATTACTGATAATTAAGAAACATCACCAACCTATTGCCACTTGGATACTGTACTACAATGTCATGATCTTCATCAATTCCACAAACAGTTCCAGTTGTAGTTAAAGTCTCAAACATGCCATCAGTCCATCCTCCATGACCATGCTGCAAAGACTGTACAATTTCTAGGTCAAGATCTATATTTACCAGGTCACCAATCTGCAACCCACCAGGATTCCTGTTGCCATTCTGCTCACCTGTAATTGCAGAGAAAGTTGTCAAAGGAAAAGGAAAGTCACATCAACAACATGCAACTGCATTATTTTTCAACAAGAACAAGCTCTATATTTTTAGTTTTAGTTACCATCGAATCTGAAAATGTTTTAGAATATAATGTATCAGATTCTAGAACTAGAGAGCTTTAAAAAAAAACAAACATCAGACTCAAAGATTGAAATAATGTGATGATTTATGACGATGACTGAATAGGAGTAGAATCTATATAAGACTATGCAACCATATATCAGAACACAAAGTTCTGCATGTTCAAAATAATCACTTTCTGCCTGGATGACTTGTTGACTATCACTGCATCAGAGCCATGATAATTAACTAGAGATTATGAAAAAGAATCCTGAAATTACTTTTTTCTCTGAAGTGCTTAGTACTGTTTTTTACCAATAATGTTTGTGGTTTTTGCCTTAAGAGCATTTTTAAATATTTCAAAGACAGTTCTCTACATTATTTCCAAAGCAAGTTCTGGGATAACGAATTCATGGTCATGAAACACTACAATGAGGGATCCAAAATGTGTATGTTGATTCTATACTTTTCTTGTGAAGGCAAGACACAAAACAAGAAAGTTTCTTTTTTTTTTTCCACGCCAAAATCCATGATCACAAGAAAGTTTCTGATAGCAAAAGAATGGATGCTCTCTACAAAAAACCTAAGTAGGTATTCTACATTCTCCTTTTATAAATAAATAAATAAATAAATAAATAAATAAATAAATAAATAAATAAGGTATCATATAAGAAAAGAGTACTGCCCCCTGGCCGATTTGGCTCAGCGGTTAGAGCATTGGCCTGCGGACCAGAGAGTCCCGGGTTCACTTCCCGCTAAGGGCACATAGCTTGGTTGCAGTTTGTCCCCAGCCCTGGTTGGGGTCGTGTGGGTGGCAACCAGTCAATGTGTGTCTCTCACATCAATGTTTTTCTCTCTGTCTTCCTCTCTCTCTCCCTCCCGCTCTATCTGAAGATTACAAAAAATGTCCTCGGGTAAGGATAAAAAAAATTTTTTTTTTAAATAAAAGAGTACTTTTTCTGACTGTAAAGAGCACTTGTTAGCAAAAAGGCAAATCCAATGATTTGAAAGAGGAACACAGAGTTCACATGAAAAAGAAAAGCATTTAGAGACAAAAGGGTTAATCAGAAGAATATAATAAATGTTCATCGTAGCAACAAAAAACAATCTATAAAATAAAGGTCGGGTTTGGTTTCCTTGTTCTTTTTTTACTTAATGATATGTGAAATTATATTTATTATATTACTTTAACCTTGGAGCTCTTCTTGTATTAGGAAGGCAATTTTACAGAAATTCTAAGGATTTCATAAGTTTTAAATTGTCAGATTCTATTCTCAATAGTGTAAGAGATGTAACATCTAACACATTTTTTTCAACGATAAGTTTATGATTAAAAGACAAGTTTTAAATATGACATAAATATGTCAATTCTCAAGCTATGACAACTCAGTGTCCACATAAATAATTTAAAAAGAACAAATTCTTTAAAACCAAAATAAAACCAAAAAAGTATCTCTTCAACTAGCTTTAATGGTAACTAATTTTTTAAAAGTCCAGTTTGGCTCAGCAGTTAAAGCATCGGCCCATGGACCAATAAGTCGTGGGTTCGATTCAGGAAAGGGCACATACCTTGGTTGTGGTTTGTCCTCGGCCCAAGTGGGGTGGTGTGGGGGGGCAGCAGTCGATGTGTCTCTTTCACATCAATGTTTCTCTCTCTCTCTCTTTCCCTCCCTCCCTTCCACTCTATCTGAAGATAAATGGAAATATATCCTCAGGTGAAGATTTAAAAAAAAAATTAAAAGTCCAATTTAAACATTTTCAGATTCCATGAACTCTGGCCCATTATTTAGAAATGTTCTCCAGTCTGCTAACTCACCTAGCACAGGGCAGTGATCTCTGTAGAAAGAACCTCCTTTGGCATCCTGGACACACTTCAGATCAGACTAAGAAGGGAAAAAAACAAACAAAATCACCCTTGAAAATATCAAGTATAGCTCAATACCTAAAATATACAAAAATGTTCATTCAGAACATATCCTCAGCAAAAGTCAAGAGCAGCTCTGGGTTAACAGTCACACTTAACGTGGCTTTTAAAAGCACCCATTAAAAACTATAAACCTGATCTTTACATTTTCAGAAACACATGCTAAAAAAGAAACTATAACAAATATCTAGTATTTAAAATGTACATAGCACATTCTTTTTAGCAAAAAAGAACTCTACTCATATGATCTTTCTAATCAATTTTATCATATATAGTAACCAAATACAGACTTTGATTCCTGTCCAATTAATTTTCCTATTTACATCAACTTTAGTCCTTCCTTTACCATAACTTAGTTAACTCAAGTTCCTTCCCACTTAGATTTTATAAGAAAACAAATTATTATTTAAATATCTGAATGGGAAAGTAGTGGTCATATAATGAAAGAGTACAGAAAATGTGAACTTAGAAGAGTAACCTTGGGGGCTACTGTGAAAATTTAAAAGTATATTTACTTAACAGTACCTAATAGTACGGACATAAATAGGTAATTAGTGTAAACTTATTCCATTAAGAAAAGGAGCTCCAGACAGACACACACAAGAGGGCAGGGAAGAGGGAAAGAGAGAGAACCCAACTCTTTTACAGTTTCTGGAGCATCATATTTAGCTAAATTATAGCCAAAGAGGCACAGGGGTCAAACTGTTTTAATGTATCAGATTACTCAAACCCAGCAAATTCACTTCTAGAAATGTAACCTAAGTAAATGTGCAGATATATTTACAAGAATAACTGCAGAAACAATGCTTGCAACAATGAAAAAAAAAACAAATCCAGATACCTATCAACACAAATCACATTAAATACATAATGGCATAACCATGCAAAAGAGTACTGCTCAGCTATCAAAAAAGGACAGGATAGCCTGGATGGCATGGCTCAGTGGATTGAGCATCATCCCATGCACTGAGAGGTCCCAGTTCGATTCCTGGTCAGGGCACATGCCCAGGTTGTGGCCTCAATACCCAGTGGGGGCAGTGCAGGAGGGAATCAATCAGTGTTTCACATCCATGTTTCTCTCTCTCTCTTCCTCTCTCTCAAAAAACATATTTTTAAAAAAACAAAAGAACAGGATCACCCTAGCCAGTTTGGCTCAGGGTTAGAGCATCAGCCCATGGACCAAAGAGGCTGGGGTTCGATTCCCAGTCAAGGGCACGCACCTTGGTTACAGATTCAATCCCTGGTCCCAGGTGGGGTCATGCAGGAGGCAACCAAACAATGTGTCTTTCACATCAATGTTTCGCTAGCTCACTCTCTCTCTCTCCCCCACCCTGCCCCCAAATTCTATTAAAAAAAAAAAAAGTCCTAGGGTGAGGATTAAAAAAAAAAAAAGAACAGGATCACCCTGGCCAGTGTGGCTCAGCTATTACAGCATCAGCCTGCAAACCAAAGAGCTGAGGGTTCAATTCTGGTCAAGTGCACATACCTTGGTTGAGGTTTATCCCTGGCCCTGGTTGGGGTCATGTAGGAAGCAACCAATTGATGTGTCTCTCTCACATCGATGTTTCTCTTTCTCTCTCTCTCTACCTCCCACTCTATCTGAAGATAAATGGAAAAATATACTCGGATGAGGATTTAAAAAAAAAAAAAGAATAGGATCAACCTATCTATCTATATATATATGTATTTTATATATATATGTATTTTATATATATATAATATTTATATATATATATATATATATATAATATATAAATCAGTTGGAATCCTACAAAAATGCACAATTTAAAAATGAAGAGGCATAACCCAGCCAGTGTGGCTCAGTGGTTGAGCGTCAACCCATGTACCAAGAGGTTGCCGGTTTGATTCCCAATCGGCACATGCCCCGGTTGTGGGCCTGATCCCCAGTGGGGGGCATTCAAGAAGTGGCCAATCGGGAGTTTCTATCTTTTCTCCCTCTCCCTTCCTCTCTCTCATTAAAAAAATAAAATAAAATAAAAATAAAAATGGAGAAGCATGAAGATAATGCAAAACTGATAATCAATGCTACACACAATTATAAATACTGGCAAGTAAAGTATGTGTTTAGATTTACATGGTTAGCTTTTATACATAAATAGAATAAATCAAAGCAAAAGAAGATTTTTGGGATATTTTTCCCCTCCTAATGAGGGACATAAAGCAGTTGGGAAAAAATGAAACAAAGCATTCTTTGAATAAGGAATACATTCAAGACGGAAAGGATACAAAAGGCATATACCTTAATATAATAATTATACTCTATAAATAGCTGAGGTCAGTATCTGAACAATGACCCATGAAGTGCAGAAATATAAGGCAATCCATGGAATAAATCACCATCATTCTAAGCATTTAATTCAAAGTGTTTCTAAGTCAATCATTTTCAATTATCAACACTACACTTTCAAAACAGTGAAAAAAATCTCTTTAAAAATATTTTTAATTGGGGGATTGAGTGAAAAAAAGACATTGAGAAGTACAGATTAGTAGTTAAAAATAGTCATGGAGATTGCAAAGTAGAGCATCAGAAATAAGGTCCATAATAGTGTAATAAAAAAAAAAGGAAAGGCCCTGGCCACTTTGGCTCAGCGGTTAGAGCGTCGGCCTGCAGTCCAGAGAGACCCAGGTTCGGTTCCCGCTAAGGGCATGTACCTCAGTTGCAGTTTGTCCCCGGCCCTGGTTGGTCGTGAGGGTGGCAGCCACTCGATGTGTCCCTTTCATGTAGATGTTTCTCTCTCTCTCTCTCTCTCTCTCTCTCTTCCTCTCTCTCCCTCCCACTCTACCTGAACAAAAAATGGAAAGATGTCCCCAGGTGAGGATAAAAAAAATAAAAGGAAAGCAGAAGCGGTTGTTCTATATTTCAGAAACATGAAATAGAATGCTTGAATATATGTATTGATTACACAACTATTACATTACTATTACACCTTATTAGTAAAATAAACTTTAAGGTAAACTTCAAAAACAAAAAAAGATTAGTTAACACCTATTATAATTTATATTTTTATCAGCCACCAAAGCCTAGAATACAAATCCACCATAAAAAACTCATTATAATACTACTCTCCATGCTCATGCCAAGGAGCCTTACAGATGATTCTAAATCTTAGATTCTTAGATTGACTATTAAATAGTTCAAACAAATGTAGTAAAAATGTAAAGTTTATTAAGTTTTCACTTTATAGATTTCCTCTCCTAATGCATATTCATGATGATTCACATGGCTGTGTTCTGACAAAAAGAGAAGACAAAAGAAAAAAGTAAAAGAATACAATTATTTCCCTTCTTTCATCTATACAATATTCCTTTTTTTGTGGGACTACTTACCATGCCCTCAAAGCCAACTCTGTAAAGGTTCTTAGCACCATTGTCCCAGAGAACATATGCTGCGCTATGTGGGCTTGATGCACTCCAGTCTTGGATTTCTGTTACCTGTATGGGAATTTTTTGAGAAAATAATTTTTTTAAAGGGGAAAGAAAGAGGTTCATTTATTTAATTACACTTAAATCTTTAAAATCATTTAAGCTATCATTCTGTGTAACAAAATATGAAAAATATTTGTTTGCTAAATGTATGTCACTTCTAATATATAACTGAACTATAATTAGAGGTATTTTTCCAGAATTGAAAGGTAATTTCTAAAACCATTAAAGAAATTTTAAATTGAAAGACCTAGTTATTACAATAATAGACTTTCAGAAAATACATAATTCAGTACAAAATTTTAAATCTTTAGTCTTAAAGGGTTCCTTTTTTCTTTTTTTTAAATTAATTAATTTATTTTTGTTACAGATGTTTCTCCTTTTTCCCCCCATTAAAGGGTTCCTTTTAAGAAAAGTATTTTCTTTTTCCATCACCATTTATCCCCTCTATGCCCTCTTCTACCTCCCTCCCTCACCTATCTGGCATCACCACACTATTGTCCATAAACCCACTATTTAATACAAATTTCACAATCTTTGACCAAGTACCCAGAATGATTCAAGGTTAACCTGCTCTGTGTCAACTAAAATATGACAAGCATGAGGCTCGATGGCAGTGATCATGGATACTTGAGTGATTTTGTTCCCCAGAAGTTCCCTCAATTGCCCCAAAAAGCAGGCCATCTGAGCTAAAACACCATATCTGTCTACCATGGAAATCCAGACACAATCTCTAGGCCCCACATGGCACCAGACTGGTTCACAAACTTATTTGTTTTTGTTTTTTCTTAATTACTGGGTTACTACTGCTTAAGGGCCAAGAATCAACTACACAAAAATGATACACGATGAGCACTAAACTTGGGTATTCTCAAACAAACCAGTCTAAGCTAAGAATAAAAAGTGGAACATGTTCACCTTATTACTTTGCTCCATCTTGACACTTATAATCAGCCATCCTTCATAGTTACTTAGAATGCCAGGATGTTAAACATATTTTTTTAAGGAATGACCTTAAAAAGACTATTATTTCAAATAAGATACATAATAACCCTTTCTTTCATTTTTACCCTGTACTAAAGAAATTGTTTTGAGCCCTGGCCAGTTTGGCTCAGCGGTTAGAGCGTCAGCCTGCGGTCCGGAGAGACCCGGGTTCGGTTCCCGCTAAGGGCACGTACTTCGGTTGCAGTTTGTCCCCGGCCCTGGTTGGTCGTGCGGGTGGCAGCCACTCGATGTGTCCCTTCACGTCGATGTTTCTCGCTCTCTCTCCCTTCCTCTCTCTCCCTCCCACTCTATCTGTACAAAAAATGGTAAAATGTCCTCGGTTGAGGATAAAAAAAAAAAAAAAATTGTTTTGATAGCTACATATTTTATGATGCTGTTGTAGAGACAAAATTTTTGTTTAAGATTTAATCAAACAGTTGAAAAATATTTCAAATTGTTAGTAAATGAGTCTACTTATTATTTTTAATCATGAAATAATTTATATATTAAAAATAAATTTTAAAAAATAAATTAAAATAAAAATATAGCCCTGGCCAGTTTGGCTCAGTGATTAGCGCATCAGCCCATGGGCCAGAGAGTCCCAGGTTCGGTTCCTGATAAGGGCACGTACCTTGGTTGCAGTTTGTCCCCACCCCGGTTGGGGTAATGTGGGTGGCAAACACTCAATGTATCTCTCTCACATCGATGTTTCTCTCCTCTCTTCCTCCCTCTCTCCCTCCTGCTCTGTCTGAAGATAAATACAAAAATGTCCTCGGGTGAGAATAAAAAAATATATACAGCCCAACCAGTGTGGCTCATAGTCCAATGGACTGAGAGGTCCCGGTTCAATTCCTGGTCAAGGTACATGCCCAGGTTGCAGGTCCAATCCCCAGGAGGGGACATGCAGGAGGCAGCCAATCGATATTTCTCTCTGACATCAATGTTTCTATCTCTCTCTCCCTTCCTCTCTCTAAATAATCAATTATATATATATATATATATATATATATATATATCACATATGTAAACTTTAAAGCATAATAAAAAATGAAATAAACACCAGCCTAAGAAAAAGAATATTACCAGTACTTTTAAAGTCTTCTGTATGCCTCTCATCCCATCCTCTTACCCCATCTTGTTTCCTCCTCAATAATTAAAGGTAGGGATAACTACCACCCTGAATTTAGAGTCCATCACTGCTTTGCTTTGCTTTATGATTTTCACACCTAATCACTGTATACAACCTTACAAAGCAACTGTTTCTAATACTCTAAAGTGAAACATACAATCTTTAGCCAAAAAATCCTTCTAAGTCTAATATAGTCAGATTCTACTTCATTTAGTTTTAAAAAATGCAATGCTAGATTAAATAAGTCTATTTTTTTAAGGGAGGGGAAGCATTTAACTAAAAAACAAAGATCACAAATTTTATTTAAATCAAATTCATCCTAACTTTCAAATTACTTGGGATAAAAGCAAGTTAATTAGTCAAGCTCTGAAACACTAAATGAAATTCCTTCATTTGTTAATATGATTTAATTATTGAGGAGGAAACAAAGTGGAAGGCATAAGAAAATAACTATCATCAATTTTATACTTTGAATTCTGATTAAGAAGTGCAGAGTGGCTGCTTTCAATATGTAAAAAGTTGTTGAGAAACTCTAGTATGGGTAACCATGGACAGAGACAACAATACTGGGGGAGGGGGGAGGGATTGGGAGGAGGGTGTCAATGAGGGGAAAAGGAGAAACATCTGTAACCAAAAAAAAAAAAATTAATTTAAAAAAAAAAGAAACTCTATAAAGGATCAAATTAACATCCCTAATAGTAAGATAACCAGACTTTATGTGATTCCTGATGGAATGGCTACAGAAAGTACACAGCACCACTTATGAGATACTCTTGCCAAAATAAAATTGAACCTGAATCTTATCAGGTCTCTATATCTAACAAGTTTTAAAATACCATAAAGAATCAATCAGCCAAATCCAAAGAATCTGATTTCTTCAACAAATATATGGCTTTTTTTTTTTTTAATGTTGGTAATTTCTGAAGTTGGCTGATGGATGCATGGGAATTTGTTATACTATTCTTTCTATTCTAGTGGATGTTTGAAATTTTCCATAATAAAGTTTTTTTTTTTAAAGATAGAAGTATATCTAGTGTACCTACATGAAACACTTAATTGACACATTCAAAGCATTTATAAAATGAAAAAAAGTATTAAAATACTAACAGAGGTAGTGATGCTGAAGAAACCCTTTAAGAATACACTGCACACTTCCATGATGTCTTTAGACCATGTTTGCCAAAACCCACACTTAACATGTTCATTTTTGTGTATGAACACCGTTATCACCATGCAAGTCATGAATTTGCGTAAGTATTGCAACATCAGCTTGGGTTGGTTTACATCCCTTAATATAGCTCATACTAGCCATATAGTTGAGCATTGAGCACATGTAGTAATGAGGGTAGGATGGGAATCTTGAATCTCAAAAAAAAAAAGGGAGAATACACTACTCACGTTGTTTATACCAAGGGATTTAGGACAGAGAAGCCAGCACTGAAGGGAAAGGGGGGGGACTTAAAAACTTTCTTCATTCACACACACTGTAAAAAAAAAAAGTCACACACTAAAAACTACATTTGTCCTGGCCAGGTTGCTTGGTTGGCGCATCATTCCATGCATCAAAGGGTTGTGTGTTCAATTCCCAGTCAGGGCACATACCTAGATTATGGGTTGGATCCCCAATCAAGGCCATGCAGGAGGCAACCGAATGAACATATTTCTCTTGCACATCAATGTTTCTCTTTCTCTTTTTCTATCTCTCTCCCCAATTCCTCTCTAAAATCAATAAACATATTCTTGGGTAAGGATTTTTTTTAAAGGCTACACTTGATTATAATATGCTTTAAAATATTACTCTGAAGATTTACTATTATAGTAAGTTCTCTCATTTAGTCACATGTGTAAGATTATTTATTTTACCTCATTTTGTTCTTAAAATGCAACATGTATTAAACTGTAACAAACCAAAAATGTAATGCTAATGACTCAAAGCTTTAAGAATACCTACTTTTTATTTCCCAAAGGAATACCAACAAAACAAAAACCCAGAAAGTTACAATTATATGGCTTCAGACGTTAAAAAGCTGCCTTCAAATTTACTTCTAATGCACTCTTTCTAAAGAATGTATACTCTACCAATGGAAAGAGTAAGCTAAATAAGATTACATAGTGGAATATAGAAAACATGAGATCCAGCCAGGAAAGAGGCAATGGCATCCGTCAAAGGAAGTTTCCAGGATGACTGCTGGGCACCAGGCATCAAAGGCGGTCTGTCTAAACTGTAGTCATGTGATTCACAAGCCACGCATGTTAAAGGCTCTTGTCAGCAAGCTCCCCACTGCCATAATACCATTTCATTGACCTGAGGACACTGCCCAAGTGAGCCTGTTCCAAATTCTCAGGTGTACTTGGCTTGTTGGACTATGTAATGGTGAAGTTCCCACTCTCCCCTCCACACCACCATTCCCTGCCACCTAGATCAGCTGAGGTCTTTCAACCCTACAAAATATTCTGCACCTAAAACTTTGAGGCAGACAATGGTAAGCTTAGAAGTAAAAAATACATAGTGACCTATCCCCTCTGACCATATTCTTTCCCAATGCCCAGCATCTGCCCATATTTCTGCCCTGCCTAATGTCCTATATTTCCCAGGACTCACTAATGACCTTGGCCCACTGACTACCCCAGAAGGACTCTTAATTCCCAGGGAAGTAAGACAGGTTATCCAGATACTCTATTCCGTTTATCTTCTCCTGGGAGATTGCATCTAAATATAGCTATTATGCTCTGTCCTTGTAATAGCTACATTTGTGCTAAATGTTATAGAACATAGCACTAATTTATACAACAAAGATAAAGTGAAATAATGACAGCAAAAGTCAGGGAGGCTTACAACTTCAGGAAAAAACAGAAGGCTTTTAAAGATACTGATAACATTCTATTTCTTAATCTGAATAGTGGGAACAAAGTATTCATTGTATTACTATTCTTTAAACTTTCACGTATATTTTCTACATTCCTCTGAGTGATACAGCTGCTATATATGGTTGTGAAAGTTGTTCACTACACAATGGGCCTTGCCAAGGAGGAGTGTAGGAACTGATACCCTGACCAAGCTCTTCTTACCAAAACTCTATGCACTGGGGCAAGGCTATTCCTGCACCCATCCCCAAAGGAGTACCTTTCCTCTACCATCGGCTTGCCAAGCATGTCCCCATGCCAGAGGTGGCACCTTTTCAAAATTCACACTATTCTATTTTTCTTTTTAGAGCAGTGTTTCTCAAACTTTAATGGATATATAAATGACTTAGGGATCTTGTTAAAAATAAGGATCCTCGCCCTGGCCGGTTTGGCTCAGCGGTTAGAGCATCGGCTGCAGTCCAGAGAGACCGGGGTTCTGTTCCCGCCAAGGGCACGTATCTGTTGCAGTTTGTCCCTGACACTGGTTGGTCGTGCGGGTGGCAGCCACTAGATGTGTCCCTCTCAAGTCAATGTTTCTCTCTCTCTCTCTCTCTCTCTTTCTCTCTCTCTCTCTCTTCCTCTCTCTCCCTCCCACTCCATCTGAACAAAAAATGGAAAAATGTCCTCGTGTGAGCATAAAAAGAAAAAAATAAGGATACTCACATTACCAAATTTCAGGTTATACTACAAAGCCACTGTAATCAAAACAGCCTGGCACAAGAACAGGCATATAGACCAGTGGAACAGAACAGAGAACCCACAAATAGACCCAAGGCAATATGCTCAATTCATATTTGACAAAGGTGGCAAGAGCATACAGTGGAGTAAAGACAGCCTCTTTATTAATTAAATGGTGTTCGAAAAATTGGACAGATACATGCAAAAAATGAAACTAGACCATCAACTTACACCCTACACAAGAATAAACTCAAAATGGATAAAAGACTTAAATGTGACCCGTGAATCCATAAAAATCCTAGAAGAAACTGTAGGCACCAAAATTTCAGATATCATATGCAGCAGAATTTTCACTGATACATCACCTAAGCCAACAGAAACAAAGGAGAAAATGAACACATGGGACTACATCAAACTCAAAAGCTTCTGCACAGCAAAAGATACAATCATCAAAATGGAAAGGCTACCCACTGTATGGGAGAGCATAACTGCCAATGATATATCAGATAAGGGGTTAATTTCCAATATATGTAGAGTGCTCATACAACTCAACAAGAAAGACAAAGAACCCAATTCAAAATTGGGCATAGGAACTAAATAGACACCTCTCCAAACAGGACATACAAATGGCTAAGAGACATATGAAGAAATGCTCACCATCACTAATTATCAGAGAGATGCAAATTAAGACAACAATGAGGTATCACCTCACACCTGTCAGAATGGCCGCCATCAACAAATCATCAAACAACAAGTGTTGGCGAGGGTGTGGAGAAAAGGGGACTCTGGTACACTGCTGGTGGGAATGCAGACTGGTGCAGCCACTATGGAAAACAATATGGTATCACCTCAAAAAATTAAAAATTGAACTTCCATTTGACCCAGTGATCCCACTTCTAGGAATATACCCTAAGAAGCCTGAAATACCAATTAGAAAGAATATATGTACCCCCATGTTCGTAGCAGCACTATTTACAATAGCTAAGATCTGGAAACAGCCCAAATGTCCATCAGTAGATGAATGGATAAAAAAGCAGTGGTACATATACACAATGGAGTACTATGCAGCTGTAAGAAAGAAAGATCTCTTATCCTTTGAGACGACATGGAGGGACCTGGAAAGTGTCATCCTAAGCGAAACAAGCCAAACAGAGAAAGACAAGTATCATATGATCTCACTTATTTGTGGAATATAATGAACATAACAGTCTGAGGAATGGGGTGGTCCCAGAGAGGTGGAAGTGAGGTACAGACTGACAATCCCCAGAAGAAGGGGTGGTGGGGGAGAGATAAACCACAGAACTTATATGCATGTATGCATGAACAAAGGACATGGGCAATAAAGCTGGGGAGAGGGCGGGGAGGGAGGGCGAGGGGGAAATCTGTGGAGGGAAAAGGAGAAACATCTGTAACAAAAATAAATTAATAAATTAAATAAAAAAAATAATTAAAAAAAAAAAAAAAAAAAAAGAACAAAGTCTATATAACATAAGACAAAGAGACAAAGAGACCCAGCAATTCCATTTCTGGGCATTTATCCAAAGAAACCCAAAACACTAAATCAAAAAAATATACTGGCCAGTGTGGCTCAGTGATTGAGCATCGACCCATGCATGCAGCAAGAGGTCACCGGTTCGATTCCCGGTCAGGGCACATATCCAGGTTGTGGGTCAATCCCCAGTGGGGGACATGCAGGAGGTAGCCAATCGATGTTCTCTCTTATCAATGTTTCTATCTCTCTCCCTCTCCCTTCCTCTCTCTAAAATCAATAAAGAAAAAAATTTTTTTTAAATATATGTGCATCTATATGTTCATTGCAGCATTATTTACAATTGCCAAGATACAGAAGCAACCTAAGTGTATATCAACAGATGAATGGATAAAGAAGTGGTACATACATACAACAGAATATGACTCAGCCATAAAAAGGAATGAAATCTTGCCATCTGCAATAGTATCAATGGATCTATTAGGGTGTTGTGCTGAGTGAAATAAGACATACAAAGACAAATGCCCTATGATTTTACTTGTATGTGGAATCTAAAGAGAAAAATAAACAAACAAGCAAAACAGAAACAGACTCATAGAATATTTTAATGGTTGCCATGTGGGAGGGGGTTGATAGGATGAGTAAAAAAGGTGAAGGGATTAAGAAGTACAAATTGGTATTACAGAATAGTCATAGGGATGAAAAGTACAATATAGGGAACATAGTCAATAATACTGTAATAACTATGTATGGTGTTAGATGGGTACTAAATTTATTGGGGTGATCACTTAGTAAGTTATATAGAGTCTAATCACTGAGGTGTACACTTGAAACTAATACAATGTAGTATGTCAACTATAATTGAAAAAATAAAAACATTATTTAAAGTTAAAAAAAAGTCATCATTCCTCAATGCTAAAATGTTTCAAATGTGAAATGTTACTCATTTCAGTATATCTAGCATTTAGCATAACAGAGTATACACAATTCAACTAATCAATAAATGATCAACAAAAGCCACATAAAATCCAAAATAAATAAATCCAACAATCCACTTAGCCTAATTAATATCTCTGACTATCCCACCCCAGTGCAACAGGCTCTACACAATTCCCTTCAGAATAGCTGCTATAATTGACAGACAGCTCTATACACTGTGAAGAGTAACAAAGGTAAGTGTACTAGGTAACAAAGTAGCTGCTTATTACCCTCTAAGACACAGGTCTTTGAGAGAATGTAATATTAAACAAGTAAATTCAAATGAAATTTTAATATCAAGAAAGTTGAGAGCATAAGATAAAGCTCAGGGAAGACTGGCTCAAACAGAATGTTTAGAAAGGCATCAGGACAACAAAATAGCAATACGAAGCCTAAAGGTAGAAAGGTAAAATCTACCTAACAACTTTCTCAAGAAATGCCAATATTTACAACACAGCAGGAACAATCTTCTTTCAGGGAAAAAAAAAAAGGAAATGAAGATTTTAAAAATTGTTCTTGGCACAGGAAAAAAATGGGCCACAAAATTCAATTATAGAAGTAATAAAAATCTCTTGATATATCATATTCTAAAATAACATGACAAACTAAAAAAATAAATGTTACCTTTCCCCTACGTCCATTTCCTCCATCCTGATCTTCCCATTGCCAGTCTACTCCTCGTACCACTCTGGCACCTGCAAAGATCCCTCTGGCTGTAATCTTCTTAGATTTTCTACGAGACTCTAACAGAACCCTAAAAATAAAATTATTTACTTTCAAATTTATATAAAAATAGGTTAATATTCATTTATTTTTCTAAAACAAGATTATAAAAAAGGTTATTTTGAAAATATAAAAGCTTTTTCTTTGTTCTGGTTAATATCATAACAGCATGTTACAAGAATACCTTCTACATTCCACAGATGATGACGATAATCAGTGGTAGCTGGAATAATAAAAGCAACTAATATTTCCTGAGTTTTTACTATACATAAAAGCATTACAGAAGAACAAAGTCTGTTGCACTCCTTAAGAGGAGGGTATTTTTATATTAACCATTTTACAAAGAAGGAAACTGAGTCTCAAAGAGTTAAGTAGTTTGCCCAAGGTCACAAATGTTAAACAGTAATGGAATCCACATATGAACCCAGTCTAACTACTTCAGAGTATCACTATACTCTTCACTACTTTAGAGATGACAAACTCAAATCAAGTGTAATTGTTAGGTAAATAATATAAATAAAGGCCTAAGAAAGACAACACCACAGAAATAATAAATGACAAGTGGCAACTGACCTCAAGCTTAAGGAAGATAAAATGGAGTGGTAAGGCCCTGGCCAGTTTGGCTCAGCAGTTAAGAGCGTCGGCCTGTGGTCCAGAGAGACCCAGGTTCAGTTCCCATGAAGGGTGCATACCTCGGTTGCAGTTTGTCCCCAGCCCTGGTTGGTCGTGCGGGTGGCAGCCACTCGATGTGTCCCTTTCACGTCGATGTTTCTCTCCCTCTCTCTCTCTCTCTCTCTCTCTCTCTCTCTCTCTTCCTCTCTCTCTCTCTCTCTCTCTCTACCTCTCTCTCCCTCCCACTCTCTCTGAACAAAAAGTGGAAGAATGTCCTTGGGTGAGGATAAAAAAAACAAAACGGAGTGGTAGGGACTTGGTGAACTCAAGTACATGATTTGTCTACAGGGTACAGGTGACTCCTGTGTTTCAACCAATTCTTGCCATGAACAAATGTAGACCCATTGCTGAGTCTTCTGGGTGTGTATGTGTGTGTTTTAAGAATTCATAAACTTAAGATTTTTGTGTGTGAAATCACCCGATTTCAAAAGATTAACAATTATTCAAAATTTTGGAGCACAGTATATGCCAAGTAAAATACATCCGTGGCCTGGATTTGACCTGCAGTAAACTGTCTCCAAAGTACTGCATACCTTCGGAAGACTGTGGACCTTGAAAAATATTCTAAACTCAATTATCTGAACCAGTTGGGTTTTCCAGACCATCTGTTCCTCATTCTTCTACATCCTTCTTATTCATAAAATGAAAAAGATGTGGGTTTTTTTCTGCTTTCTACTTTCATCTCATTATTCTATTCATTTTTAGAATGTCTTTATTATACTCTAACTTTAAAAAATTGTAAATAAAAGTAAAAAAATAACTTGTTCCAAATTACTTAGTTAATAAAGGGCAGGACCATGATTTGAACTGGGACACCAGGACACTAAAATCCACTTTTCTGTAACTCCTATGACTGGCTAGATTCCTGCTCCTGTGCATTATCCACATGTACATGAGAAGACTAAATTACCTGAAATTCTACAGCTATTCACAATTAACACTCCTCTTTCATATTCCTAAAACACTTAATCCATACCCTTCATAGAATATAAAACATCACATGATAATCACTATTGACCAAATAATCTCTTAACTTGTAAATTCTTTAAGAATATTGTGCTTTATTTATCTTCAAATTTACACAAGCCTAACAGCTGCCTCGAAGTCTTAATAAATGCCTCTTGACTCAATCATTGAGCCCCAGTGATGACAATTAACAGAAGTGAAGGCATAGCAAGAAGAAAATAATCAGCTCTGGCAGGGTAGTTCAGGCGGTTACCAGCGTCTGATACGCCAAGGTTGTGGATTCACCCACTGTCAGGGCACATATAAGAATCAACCAGCTCTGGCTGGTTTGCCTCAGCAGTTAGAGCATCAGCCCGTGGACCAGGGAGTCCCGGGTTCGATTCCCACTAAAGGCACATACCTCAGTTGCAGTTTTTCCCCGGCCCTGGTTGGGGTTGTGCAGGTGGCAACCAATCGATGGGTCTCTTTCACATCGATGTTTCTCTCCCTCCCTCCCGCTCTATCTGAAGATAAATGCAAAAATATACTCGGGTGAGAATAAAAAATAAAAAGAAAAAGAATCAACCAATGAATGCATAAATAATGGGAACAACAAATGTTTTTCTCTCTTTAAAATCAATAAATAAAAAATTAATAATAAAAACACTTTAGCTTGTTAAAAGAAGAAGAAAATAATCAGCCTCTCTTGTCTACCCTTGCATTTCCAAATACTGAGTAATGCCAAGTATCTACATGAGAGAAAGAATACCCCCGATTATCTTGGAAAAATACTTACAGCTTCATCTTCAGAGACAAGCCTAGTCCACATCTAGCCTGCTGCTACCCTCTGACTAAACTAGCTGTAAGAAGTTTTCCTAATCCTATTTCTAAGGCTGATTAGTATAAAAATTTAATACAAACAAAGAATTTCAACTAAAGAAAAAAATTATTTCCCATACCTCTCACTTCCTGGTGTAGTAATTCTATAGAAGCGATGCCTTAAATGATGTTTATCTCCATGATAACAAACTGTGCACAAATCATAATTTGTACACTCTGCACACTTCCATCGAATGCCGATGATTGGTTGCTGGCGGCAGGTATCACACATGGTGCCATCATGCTTAATGCCTATTAAAACAAGGATACATACTTACATTAATTACAGGTATTATTTACTTGAATATTATTTCTTAAGGAGAAAAAATAAAGTAACATTTTACAAAGTATTTCAATAAAGTAGGAAATAATATTCCAAATGTACCAAGATAACATTTTACAAATATTTTAATCAGCACAAATTATAGACTAAATAGTTTCTATCCCTTCTTTTTTTCATTAGTAAAAAATTTCTCTTGCCCTGGCTGGTTTAGCTCAGCGGTTAGAGCGCTGGCACAGGAAACAAAGAGGCAAAAGTTCGATTCCGGTCAAGGGCACATACCTCAGTTGCGGTTCGGTCCCAAGCCCTGGTCGGGGTTCTGTGGGAGACAGCCAGTTGATGTGTCTCACATCGATGTTTCTCTCTCTCTCTCTCTCTCTCTCTCTCTCTCTCTCTCTCTCTCCCCCCTCCCACTCTATCTAAAGATAAATATAAAAGTATCCTCGAGTGAGGATTATAGGAAAAAAAACATTTATCTGTAGCACTTCCCTTGTTCTCATCCACAAACTGAAACTTGGATTCAGTCCAGAGAAAGAAAGAAGAATCTTTTACCTCCAAGGAAATGTTCCAGATTTCAACACTCAGAAATCTTTTGAGGAATTTTAACTTATCCTCTAGATAAATAATTACTCCAAAAGACAACTTGATTCTAAAGATATCATAGAAACAAACTACCAATTAACTTAAAATTTTTTCTCTAGGTATTAACTTTGTCCCCACAAACAATAAACTTCAGAAAATCATTAAAAAGAAAGTTTCCAAGTTTAAAGAGCAACAATATACTATAGTTGAGTTTGTTGTGTTTTTTTTCCTTAAGGAATAATAAGTACTACACTCTAGAAAAATAAAATAAGTATTTGATAATATAACCTTAACAAAAAATGTTCATATGCATGGATGAGACAGATAGATATTAGAACTACAAAAGGTAGCATTAAATAGTAGTGAAAATAACTGATATTTTAGAGTACTATGATTGGAAATAATGTTCCTTTTTTATTGTTATACTAAAATCACTTATTCAATAAATCAAAAACACAAGTTTTTAAACAGTGTCTGACTTGTGAATATCAGTGTCACTATTTTATGAACACATGCTCTATGGTCAAGTTCGATTTTGAACTACAAGCAAGAGCTATGTTGTCTGTACAACAGTGACATACTCCTGGATTCCAGTTCTGGTTCTCTATCAGTAGCTATCTTTGGGCCCCTGAAAAAGTTATTTCGACTGAAGTATTTACATATAAAAAGCAGTATTTTTTTCAAAATAATTGGAAGGGTAACAGAGGGCATTGCTCATGTTGGGTAACAGGTAACATGGAGATTCGTTGTATTTTTTCTATTTGTTGTAAGTTTAGAAATTTTCCATAATTAAATGAGAGAAGTTGTGTTAGTACCCTTTGGAGAAAGCAATATGTTCTTTCAAGGTAAAAGATATTCTAGGAATCTAATTAAGAATGTGCTGTATAGCCCTGGCCAGTTTGGCTCAGAGGTTAGAGCGTCCGCCCGCAGACCAGAGAGTCCTGGGTTCGGTTCTCTCTAAGAGCACGTACCTCGGTTGCAGTTTGTCCCCGGCCACAGTTGGAGTCATGTGGGTGGCAACCACTCAATATGTCTCTCTCACATCGATGTTTCTCTCTCTCTCTATTCCCCCCTCTCTCCCTCCTGCTCTATCTGAAGATAAATGCAAAAAAAAAAAAAAGTCCTCAGGTGAGGATAAAAAAAAATTTAAAAAAAAGAATGTGCTGTATATGCAAGAACTAGAGTACAAAAGTACTAAACTCCACAAGAACTAATGCATTATTGCTACTTCTTGATAAGAAAAAAATTCTCTGTAATTCACTTCCTATATCTAGATTTAAAGTCTCTATGAGTAAGGTAACCAGATTCTAAATAAAGAGCCAAACATAAGAATAAATCTGTCTAAGTGGAGGTGGTTAAGAATAAAAAAAAAGGTGGGGGGGCAGGGAGGAATGAAAACTAGAAGGAAATTGGGATGCCTAGTGAACTTCAAAAGAGCATGACACATAAACCAAACATGTTTTGTGTGTAATCTTTCTGCACTCTCCTTCCACACAAATGCTTGATTGAAGGGACAGAGAAGATGGAAGACACAAGTCCTACTGATTCATTCAGTAATTATATGTTTATTGCTACTGTAGCCAGGCCCTCTGTTGCTTTCAAATATCACTCTTGCTACAGTATGAAGAACAGAAAGGAAGAAAAAGAAAAAGTGGCTAGAGAAAGGCAATCAAGTCATAAGAAGTTTATACAGCAGTCCAGGTGAGGTGATATTTTAAGTCAGGGTGATAACAGAGCGAGTGGAAAGAAATAAGAGATTAAGGACTTGGTGAGACTATGGGTTACAAAACAAGAGATATAGAAGGTAACCCAAAAAAGTATGAATGGAATCAATCAGGAGAAAAAAACAGATATGTTAGAGCTTTTTAGAAACAGACAGTTCTCTTTAAAACAAAGGAGAAGCCCTAGCCGGTTTGGCTCAGCCGTTAAGAGCATTAGCCAGCGGACCAAAAAATAGTGGGTTCAATTCCGGTCAAAGGCACATACCTCAGTTGTAGTTCAGGGTCCTGCGGGAGGCAACCAATCAATGTGAGATACGTCGATGTCTCTCTCTCTCTCCCCCCCCCCCCACCCTGACGGAAGATAAATGGGAAAATATCCTTGGGTGAGGGTTTTTAAAATAGAATAAAAATAAAACAGAGAGCCCTGGCAGTTTGCCTCAGCGGTTAGAGCATCAGCCTGCAGTCCAGAGAGACCCGGGTTCCGTTCCCGCTAGGAGCACTTACCTCGGATGCAGTTTGTCCCCAGCCCTGGCTGGTCGTGTGGGCACCCGATGTGTCCCTTTCGCATCGATGTTTCTCTCTCTCTCTCTCTCTTCCTCTCTCTCCCTCCCACTCTATCTGAACAAAAAATAGAAAAATGTCCTCGGGTGAGGATAAAAAATAAAACAGAGAGAAAACTAAATAAGCACATGCTAATTCAAAAATGCAAGCTCAGGACTCCAATGACAGAAGTGAATCTAAGAAACTAAATCAAAAAAGAATCAGAAAAAGTTTCATAGAAATGGTGGAGTAGACCTTTCAAAGGAAGAAGAAATCTCAGAAGAGCACAGAATATGTTCAATGAACCAGGAGAAGCTTTATTTGGCAAGAATATGAAATATAGCTTAGAGATGCATTTTAGAGTAATTCTGGGAAATAATAAGATAAAATGATTTGTAACCTGTATATTTAAATTGTTGCATTAAATGGTAAAAACAAGGGTATGTGATTTAAGACTAGTTCTATAACTTACTAGCTAGGTAATGTTCAGTATCAGCTTAAACTACTCTAGGATCAATATTCTCATCTATAAATTAAGAAAATACTTCCTTTCATATGTAACGGATTGAATGTGTTCACCCAAAATTCATGTTGAAGCTCTACCCCACAATGTGATGTTTGGAGGTAAAACTTTAGGGAGGTAAATGAGGTAATGAGGGTAAGCCTCTATGATGGGATTAGTGTCCTTTTAAGAAGAGAAAGAGAGACCAAGTCTCAATCTGTCAGATGAGGACACACTAAGAAGGCAGCTATCTGCAAGCCAAGAAGAGAACTGCCACCAGAAAACTGATTTGGCCAGCACTTCAATCTTGAACTTCCAACTGTAAGAAATAAACTCCTGTTGTTTAAACCACCCAGTCGATGGCAGTTTGTTAAGGCAACTCAAGCAGGCTATGACAATATAGAAGAGGACATTGTGAAGCTAAAGTGATATAATATAGGTAAATACACTTTGAAAGACTTTAAAGCAAAATATAAAGAATTATACTGAACTTAATTTATAAGGAATTATACTGCACTTAATTTCACCTTGATATATTTATTGAAAGTACTAGTCATCTACTTAATTTAGTGATCAAAATCATCATATACCCTAGGAAAATTCAGCAATACTTATACAGAAATCAGAGAATTTAATTTCCCAAAAACTACATATGGAAAATATTCAATTATTCATGTGTGGATTGTCCCTGTTTTAGCTAATTAGCCACCTTCTCCATAGTCATTCTCTCACTATATGGCCTCCCTGAGGTTTTACCTGTCTTCTCAGTTCCTTTCATTGTTTTCACTCCAGAATAGCAACAGTGGGCATAACTGGCATGCAAGATAGTCCTACATACCAGCAAATCATCCACCACTTCTCATCATTGATAATGATGGATTCTATCCCATAGCTAATGAAGTCTGATTGCAGCAATCATGAAAACTATCATCAGCTCTAGGCCCAAAAGAAATCATACTCTAGTCTAAACAGAATGCACACTAAAGTTAAAAATTCCAGATTTACAGCTACACAACTTAAAGCTACCAGCATTCACTACTATTACATGCTTCAGTCTTGTAGAATATAAATTTAAAAAAACTGAATGCAACTTTCATCTATTCTTCCTTATTGGGTATATAAATTGAATACAAAGAAAAAAAAGCTTTTTTAATCATATAAAGATTTTTTAAAGTACCAAATAATCCATAAACTGCCAAATCATCCCTTGGATTACAAAGAATTGGCTATACTTTGCATTAAATCAATATGTAATCAACTCCTTATATTAACTTTTTTAATCTGTAATTACTCCTGTGACTACTATCTCCCAACACAAACAGCAAAAGTTTACCAAATTAAAAAGTTATTCTAGCCTGGCCAGTGTGGCTCAGTGGTTGAGCATCAGGGCACATGCCCAGTTTGTGGGCCGATCCCCAGTGAGGGGCATACAAGAGGTAGCCAATCAATATTCTCTCTCATCGATGTTTCTCTCTCTCTCCCTTCCTCTCTGTCTCTAACATTAATAAAAAAAATTTTTTTTAATATATTTTTTTAAAGTTAGTCTAGTTCACACAAAGATTTTTTTTTTTTATCCTCACCTGAGGACATTTTTCTATTTTTTGTTCAAAGATAGAGTGGGAGGGAG